CTCTCAACTCCTGTGCCATTTCCACGGCGCTCGACTCGAGATAGGAAAAAGGTTCAGCCCTTCCAGTCTTCTTTTTAAGGGGGAAGATATGATGGGAACTGAGACCAGACGACAACGACAACGCACGCTCTTCTGGAGCCGAGTGCGCGAGCGGCGGTTCGGGATCCGCCATCATGCAGTAAAGACGTTTACTGTCCTGGCTCTTCAGTTCTTAGTAGAACATATCGCCACACCGGCGATTCGGTAGTGCTTTACTACAGTTAATAAATTCGTAAGGAAGCCCATTCCATTCTACAATCGTTCGAGGAAACAAGGAGAATTTGAAACAGTTGACGCCCGGTTGGTAAGGTGCAATGGTAAGTGGGGTTCTTCCTCGGGTGGCGTAACCAGTAGAAAAAGTGATATATTCGTTAACGTTAATTTTACACTGCCCCTTAATTAATTGAAATGGAAAACGAAGTCTACATTCACGGTTTTGTTCTTGAACCGGGACAAACCCAAGCTGTGTGCTCAGCTCGATAATGGACGCCTTGTTATAGGCGTTAAAAATGAATCTAACAGCTTCATTTCGTATTTGTTTTATGCGATTAATTCCTACCTGTGTAAATGGGTCCCAAATAATGTTTGCATATTCTAGGATCGGTCGGATAAGAGTCTTGTACACCAGGAGTCTAGTATCTAAAGTTCCTGACTTTAGTGTTTAAGAAAAAAATAATCGACGGAGGGCGTTATAGGAAATTAAATTAATCTGTTTATCCCATCTAAGACCGGAACTGATCCAGAGACTTAGATATTTGAATTCAGTAACTTCTCCTAGGATATGCTCGTTCATGTGATAGGAGAATGAAAGTGACTTTTTTTTATTAGTGACGGACATACAAACACTTTGTTATAATTTCTACACATTTGCCATGTGTCAGACCATTTCAAAATCTTGTTCAAATCATCATTAAGCTTAATCTGGTTATCAACACACTTGACTTCGTTATACTTCACACAATGGTTGGCATAAAGACGTATTTTGACAGAAATCTCGTCGGGAATATCGTTGATAAATAGCAAGAACTACAAAGGCGCAAGTACCGATCCTTGGGGGATGCCAGAGTTCACTGAGAGTAGGGAAGAACTTTCATCAATAAATTCTACATATTGACAGCGGTGTGTTAGGTAAGCTTGTATCCAACCAATAACTTGATTATTTTTTAAGTGGTTATTAAATTTCTTTATGAGCTTTGCATGTGACACTTTATCGAACGCTTTCGCCAAATCGATAAAGATGACATCTACCTTACTTTTCTTGTTCAGGGCGGAGGTAAGGTCGTGAACTGTCTCATGCAATAGAGTTGTGGAAAATCCTCGTCTGAATCCATGTTGGCTGCTCGACAGCACATTATGTGTTTCGAGAATTTCAAAATTGTGTTTATTAATAATGTGTTTAAGGAGTTTCATACAGAGCAAGTTAAGGAGATAGATCTATAATTAAGGATCAGCTCTTTGTTTCCGGTTTTACGTAGTGGTTTTACGCTGGCCATCCTTTAATCATACATGACGTGACACATAGGTGACGTGACACGGCCATGTGAATTTGTTCATAGGTGTCGTGACATGAAGTGACGTCATAGGTGACGTGACATGGCCATGTGATGTCATTTTCCCAGAAGCGGGGAAATCGAATTGGTGTTGAGGTCACGTGGCGTCACTTTTCCAGCTAAATTTAGCGGGGAAGCTGTAGGAGGAGGATGTGGAGGAGGAGGAGAGGGTATACAGCTGTCATTTTTGTTTCGAAACGTGGAGACAAATAAAATGTTTCCAAACATGCAAGATCGTTATCGGCGACCCGAATGCAAGCTTCGAGGTACAAAGCTGTTTTGGTTGCGCCCATCGACGCCGATCGTCCGCTACATTTGGTGGTCGACGCCGCCACAAAGCAACCACACATACGAGATTGCAAGATTGGTAGTAGAAATCGAGGGAAGTGTGAAATTGCGCACGAAATTAATAGGTTATACCGGTTATACAGTCTTACGGGATACAAAAGTTCGACGCGGAATTCGAAAGGTACAGAAAAGTTTCTAAGCTAGGCGGCGCAAGCTACCGCCCAGTACAAGGGGACACAGCCGCCAGCATTCATCTATTCACGTTGCCACCGCCGGCAGCTCCGTCGCCACTGGTTCGAACACTCCCCTGTCCCCGCACCGTCCCGATTTCCGCTCGGAGCCGACGACGCTTTCGCCTGGATGTTTTCGGGTTGAGTGGCGTCGCCGTCGGCGTAACCACGCGCTGCATAATGGGACGTTTCTTCGCTAAAGTTAGTGGGGAAATTTTCCCGCTAAATTTAGCGGGTAATGTTTTCCGGCAAATTAAGCAGGGAAATTTTCCTGCTAAATTTAGCGGAAAAAGATTCACTAAATTTAGTTTGAAATTTAGGGAACATTTCTGCTACATGGGAGGGGAGCAGAAGAGGAAGAGGGGAGGGGAAGGAGGGCATACCCTCCCCTCCTCGTCCTCAAAAGCTGCGCGCTAATTCGGCGTTATAGAGGATTGTAAACGTCTTTCATTTTTTCTATCAGCCAATTAGAGCTCGGCATTCTGACATCATCGCAACCCCTTTGCAAGGGGCAGAGAACTTGCGCTCCGCATAAGCCTAAAGTGTATGGGTTATGAAAGTTTTTTTTTACTTTTCTTTTATTATTTCCTATGCCGGACACCTCTTATCTGGCACTTGGTTTCTGGCGTCTACCTATTTTCAAATATTTCTTGAGCGTGCGAGTGATGTTTTAAACGCAAAACAAGCATCTTCGCACGTATTCACGAGCAGAAAGAGTAAAATAGTACTTATTTATTGCGAATTGGACTATATTACCTGGCTGTAAATTTATTTTGATAGTCTGCATGCTCAGGGAGTTACTTATCCAGTTTTACTGCGTAGTTCTTGCTTCTTTCCTGGTTTTTTAGGTGTCCTTCGTTCGTTTGGCACGCATATCTCCCATGCTGAAAGGCGCCGACGCCATGTTCGCGCTCACCGTGTCCGACAGTGCAGATAAATGCTTGTATGAAGCTCTTTTTACACTGTGTTCAATATCCTAAATGTGATATTAGTGGAGAGAGAAAATGCACTCACTTCTTTTTTTTTTTTTTTGTAGAAGCGCATTACGCGAATTCAATGTTCCACTAGTTGCTGTCTGCTTCAATTTGCGACAGCACACAAGCGCTAGTTGAACCTCTAATGTACATTGTAATAACTCTATGGCACCAACATCGAGCATTCAGTACACGGAGTTTTACATTCGTCATATGGTGTGCCTTTCTTTCACTATTACGGGTATGGTACTGTAGGGAACAGAGATCTGTGAATGGTGTAAGTTCGTTTTATTATATTGCGACACCCCTAAAATTATTACCGCTTTAAAGCATGATCTGCATCCTTTTCAACGGAACTCCTACTCCCAGAAACGTTGCCCTCCGTGCATACGTCAGCAGGCTTTATGATGTCACGGCCCGCCTCCCGTCGTTCGATGCACCATCGTTTTGGGGGACGGCTACTGTGGTAACCGCAATGTATTCTATGGAATGCATATATTTTGATGCACATCATCTGGATGGCGTTTCAGCGTACTCTATGAAATGCAGTTTTGCAACGAGAACTTTGATGGCGCTTCAAACGACGGGATACAAACAATCCACTTTGCACTCTCTACTTTGGTTTCAAAGGTACACAGATCGATCTCAAGCAAACAATTGAAACCATATTTTAGCATGTATAGCATTTATTATTCCGTTTTTCGGAAAACTATATAATTACAGAGGAAAGCTCAATATTCAGTAACTCGACTTTCTTCTTGATCCTTTACATGTTTTTCTTCCAAAATGACTGCGCGCTTTTAGCGCAGCCTCGTATCAATATATCTGGCATTGAAAACAATTGGAGATCCTTTGTTCACTTTTCAAAGCAATATTTTAATTATCTTTCCTAGAGCGTTCTAGAAAGTATAGAATCAACAGGACATCCGCAATGAGGTCGTATATTCAATATTTACATAATTTGACTGCAACAAAGCACGATGGTCCGCCGATTGGCGAAAGAAGCGGAACACGTGCAACTGGTCTGGTAGCTATCCAAGAGACAGGAAAGGATGGGAGAGAGTGTTAAAGAAAAAAAAAATTGCGTATTCTGCTAAGGCACTTGCTTCCTCATCCTTCTATTGGACTTCGTATTTGTGTTGCGTGAGCCTCTCTTGGAAATTTTCACTCTCCCCAACGTATAAGACCGGACAATCCCCGCAACACGGTATGCGGTAGACGACACCCTGAGCCTTTTCTTTGGTGAACCTACTCATTCTTAAGAAATTTCACGCTATGCCTGGAAATGCTTTCGAGATATAGTAGGCCAATAACAATTAAAGTTACCAGAAACCGTTGTCTCCGCAGTCCTAAAATGAATGGAATGCAATAATTAAGGAACGATCGTTTAAATTGGTTGAGAAGACTTCAAAAAGTCATTTCGGGGAGTGAAGAATAGGGTGTTTCTTCATTTCCCCGCTAAATTTTGCGAAAACATCTACGTGACGTCACGTTGTGTTACCACGCCACGTGACGTAAGGTCCCGCCATGCAAACTGCATCGCTAAATTTAGCGGAAGAATCGACGTCACGTGATACTATCACACGTGACCTGACGTCACGCAATGCGGTCACATGACGCCACGTTGTTAAGTCAGGGCATCACGTGATGCCACGATATCACATACGTGACACGTCAATTTGCCCGCTTTATTCAGCGCAGCAATACACGGACAGCCGGATGGAGGGACACATTTGTGATGTGCGAGTTCCGTTAGAAAACGTTCCGTGCATTAATATACTTTTTTCATAAAAGTGCGGGCTTTTTTTTTTTGCCAATATTCTCGGCTTGTTTTACGGCCATTCCCTCTGTTTATGCCACCCTGCATATTGGTCTAACATTTTACGATGGCGGGTAAGCCTAATGAAGCGTATGCTGACCTGCGATGGGGGGTCCAGCGGTGAGCGGCAGGGAGCAGGCGCCGAGGAGGAAGCCGATGCCCTGCGAGGTGCCCGAGGAGCCCGCGATGAGCCTGGCCACGGGCCCAATGAGCGAGATGAAGCAGCCGTCGCACAGGCCCAGCGCCAGGCACAGCGCCACCAGGACGGCGAAGTGGCTCGCCGCTGCCATGCACATAGTCAGCAGGCCCATCACCAGAAAGGAGACCTGCGTTAAAGTAGAGAGAGTCGCTAGACTCTGCCTTCGTTTGCAATTCCCACTGAAAATATAAATGTTACGCACTTATATGACCAATCTTCCATAACACCACACGAAAGACCCGCAAAAAAAAAGAAGAAAAATATATAATCATTAACCATTTTCTTGAACCTCTTGAGGTTGGGTGGAGAACTAGAAGAACCAAAAGTGGAGGGGACAGAAGGCGTCGTCTCAAACTCAGCTGAAAGTTTATTTATTAACACTTCCATATAAACCAATACTTCACCAGCACAAATCTACACCAGCTCGCCTGCGCCCACACAGTCTTTTCGCTAATAAATAAGCATTTGTCTTAGCGGACATTACAACTCTAAGTGGTTCAAGACAATCTTTTTTTTTATTTTATATACAGCGTGTCTCTCGGAACGCGGGTCTTAGTTTACTCGTTACTTCGAGTAATTTATATTGTTATAAGTAAATTGAAAGGTATGATTTGATTAGAAAGTTGCTGGGCTTCATCAGAAGTCGCTAAATCAAGTCATTTTAGAAAAATATAAAGCATTTTGCGGCGTTGTGAAAAACATCAAAAAGCTCAATTTGGAGGCGTTTTTAGATTTTTGGTTTTCTATCGAAGCGCACCTTTCACAGGGAGGTCCCACCCATCCAAGTCGTCAACAACGTACAGGTCCGCTTTTGTCGACTTGGTTTTGTAGGTCATGTCCTTCGTGATCATTCCAAGCACGTCTAGCTCATGGCGATCGGATCGGGACCGTTTAGGATTTTCGTGGGCCTCTGCAGAGATCTCGCTGGAAGAAACGCTTTGTACACCTCTGTTGAAATGACTGTCACGTCGGAGTCAGTGTCGACTTCAAAGACGATTGAAACTTTGCCAACTTGCACTGTCGCCGTAAACCGTTGCTGTTTTCACATTCGATGTCTCCAACGAATGCAGTCTCTTTACTGGAAACTCGGTTCAGCACTGCGGAGTTTCGGCATTGGCGAGCGTAATGTCCAATCATGCGACATTTTTTGCACATTGCCTTTAGTGCCGGACACTGTCCTTTGGAATGCTGACTCTTGCCACAGCGTGAGCAGTGTCCAGTCGGTGTTCGAAACTGAGTAGAGTTAGGTACCGTCTTCTTGCCCACTCTTCCTCTACGATTGCCCTTTCGTGAAGTAGCCTTCTTCGATTTTGGAAGTTCGTTTGGGTGCGGAATGGTAGCATTTTTGCTGGGAAGGCCGAGCAAACGCCGCCTGCGAAAGTAAGATGTGTCGATGACGTCCGTAAAATAACGGCGAGCTAGTTTTGCCCCTTTTTTTTAATCTCTTTTGAATTGTTAAGCTCCTACAGATATGTCAGATGCCTTTATTTCACCTTCTAAACTAAACAAATTACTTCAAAATAAGTCTGCATTTAAATTAACACTTCTTCACCTTAATGTTAGGTCTGCAAAAAACAAACACGATGACCTCGCTGTTTTGTTTGATTGCATAGGACCAAACGTTGACGCCATTATGCAACGGAGACATGGTACCGTTGTACTACTGACCACTTTCTGCTCCCGGGATATTCCCATTTCAACTTAAATAGAGAAAACGGGCAAGGCGGTGGTACTGCTATGTTGGTAAAAAACGAAGTAAGTTGTGAGCTCTTAGAATCATTCTGTAAAATCACTGACTTCTATGAAGTGCTAACTGTGCGTTTCGGAAATACGTTGCTCTCTGTTGTATATAGGCCCTCTAGTTCGCCTGTCATGCCGTTTCTAAATTTTCTGGAGACCTTGTTTAATTTTGTCAATGATAAAAATTACAAGTTAGTTTTGTGTGGTGATTTCAATATTCCATATAAGTTCTGACTTTAGCTCCAGAAATTCTTTTTCAAACCTCATTGAGTCATGTGGATTATCAAATGTTATAAAGCACCCTACAAGAATAACTAACACGTCATCCTTTTTGCTTGATATGTTCATAACCAACTACGAAGACTCGGTGGTGACATCGGGGGTTCTTTCAACTGATATAAGTGATCATCTTCCCATTTATTTTTGCTTGCAAAATAAACATTCCAATAAAAACAGTAGTGACTGCGTTCCTGTGGCTAGAGTTCAGTCGATCTCCCCTGACCAGTTGCGCCGTTTTCGAGAAGACATTGAACGTACATCTTGGCAACAAATTTTTCTACAAATTCAGTTAATTCCGCATATAATTTATTTATAGATATATTTAGTGCAATATATACAAAACATTTCCCTTTTGTCAACCTCAAAGCCACTAAAAAGTCGCGTAGACCTTAGATCACGCCTATCCTACTATCAATGATACGAAAAAAAGAATTTTTATATAATAATTTTTTAAAAACTAGAGAAAATAGTCGACTTGTAATCTTTAAATCTTATCGAAATAAACTAACGAGTCAGCTAAGGACTGCTAAGCGTGACTATAACAAGAGACTTTTTGATCCATTAGAAACATTGAAACCTGATAATATGTGGAAGAGAAACGTACCTCATGAAGTAACAGTAAGTGGCGCTCAAACAACAGACGTCACCATGGCAAACGCGTTTAATGATTTCTTTGTAAATGTTGGTACGTCAACGTGTATGTCACCCTCCTGTATAAAAAAAGCCCTAGAGTTCATGAAATCGTCGCAGACGAATACAATGTTTTTGTTCCCCACTGATGAGGCAAAAGTCTGCTCAACCATCATGGATCTTAAAAATAGTAAAAGTATTGACGCCGATAACATGCAGATAAAATCTATAAAATATGTTATTGATAAAATTGCACCATATCGGACATATATATATATATAACCTTGCTCTTGAAACCGGGGTTTTCCCACTTAAAATGCTGGTATCAAAAGTTGGTGTCCTACATAAAGGCGGTGATATGTTCGACATATGCAACTATAGGCCCATTTCAATTCTTCCTTTCTTTTCTAAACCACTCGAGAAACTTCTACATCAAAGACTCTTAACGCATCTCGATAAACGTGCTTTAATTTCTGAATCACAATTTGGATTTCGTAAGCATCGATCTACTGAAACAGCATTGCTGAATAAAAAATAACTAATTTTAAAAGCATTCGACGCAAAAAAGATAACATTGGGCGTTTTCCTCGATTGCTCAAAAGCATTTGATTCAATTAATCATGGCATTTTAATTGCAAAATTACCATTTTATGGAAGAAGAGGCATAGCGCATGATATTTTGAAATACTACTTATTAAATAGAAATCGGTACGTGTCTTTTCCAAATTTTCATTCAGATAGGCTAGCCATAACATCGGGAGTTCCCTAGGGCAGCATCTTAGGCCCATTGTTATTCATTTTGTACATCAACGACATCACAAACGTTGCTCAAAACACTGATGTAAAGGTGGTAATTTACGCGGACGATACCAGGATTGTTTTCCCATGATTATATCTGCACTTCCATTTTCGCAATGCAAGAGGTGTTAGAGCAAATTACTACCAAGACACTCAACAACAAATTAAAGTTAAATTGTAGTAAGACTAAGGCTATTTTGTTTAAACCTAGAAATAAAAAGATGAACGATCCACTTTGTCTTAAAATCAATAATAAGCAAATTGAATTTGTAAACTGTATTAAAATGCTGGGTGTGTTGTTTTCACAAGACATGAGCTGGAATGCTCACATAGATTATGTCCAAGCAAAACTATCCAAGAGCGTTGGTTTAAAACAATACTTCCTACTCATATTAAATTAAATATTTATAAATCGTTAGTTTGTTTCCATTTAAATTACTGCAACCTTATTTTAGGCACCACAACCAAAACAAACCTGACAAAGTTTCACCTTTTACAAAAAAGGGCTGTACGTGCAATATCTTCTGTTCCCTCTCTCCATCCTACTGCATCATTATTTAAGGCCCTAAAAGTAAAAACAATTCAGCAAATATATACGTTTAAACTTTTAACAATGCATCGTAAGGCTGTTCAGCAAAACAACTATTCATTACATTCACTTAGCTAACCTAAAACATCTCATCATCCTGCGCGACCTTAGGCAAAATCAGCCCTGGGTAATCCGTCCATCCCGCACAAATTACCTTGATCAGACGCTTCATTTTAATTTGTTTACCATACTAAACACTCTGTACAAAAGGAGTATAAATTTAGAGGCACTTTCAGATAAAGGGTTAGTAAATTTGGTTTTTTTCTCTATGACTTTTTGAATACTGGCGTCGTTTTTATACTGTTTGCTTTCCTTGTGTATCTGCTGACCGCTCTCGTAATTTATTGCCGTGCATTTTGTTTTTTTTTTTGCCTAAATTGCTCATTACACCAGATATTTGTATAAGATGTGTCTACATTTATGTAATATATTTGTTTATGTTTTTGTTTTTATTTACCTTTTTGCTGTTCCGAACTGCACGGGGGCTGGGACCTTCGCCAAGCTGCTACCCAGCAGCTTTTTGTCCCAAGTCCCCTGTTGTCATCTAAGGAGATGTGACAACAAATAAAACTTGATTTTATTTGATTTGATATGTAAGGGCTATCCACGTTGGTGTCACTGAACGTGTGAAGTCTGGTCTGCTGGACTCTCACAAACTCAGACTGTTGCGCCATGTTTGTTGTGTTTTCAAGCTTCAAGTCTGGATCAAACTGCAGTCTTTCAGAAAGCTTGTGATCTTTAAGTCCCACCACTATCCCGTCTCAGATCATTTTGTCGTGGAGTGTGCTGAAGTTGTTCAGATGTGATATAAACTCTTCGACCCTCCCTCCTTCTCTTTGACATCTCCGATGAAAAGTGGCTCGCTCATAAACAAGTTCTGTCTCACGACAAAGTGGTTCTCAAAGGCTTGGAGCACGGCGATGTAGTCGGATACCATCCGTTTTTTCACCCCCATGAAATAAAAGAGAGCATTCACCTGTTCAGTTCCTAGCTTCGCCTTGAGACCACTGACGACTCAAAATCGCTCGAAGCGGCGCTTCCACGAGGTCCATTCTCCTGGGTTTACAAAGGTGTGCGGCTCGAGGGGTTGGCACCCTGTGTTGTCAGGGCCTCAGGAACTCAGGACTCAAGCCAGCGTCCGTCGCGAATCAGCCCCCACCCCCCCTCCCCCCGTTTTCTTCATCGCAGTGATGGAAGTGCTGCGCCAATTGCGCCAAGGACGCAATCCTGCTACAGGTATCGCCAAATTGTCATTTCACCGAAGAATTGCGCCATGCCTGCGCCGAGATGAGATGTAGCAATAAAAAAAAAAAAAAAAACTGAAGTATTATTAGAGCGCGTGGCGGTATCGCGGTATTTTTCGCGCCGCAACTGTTATGCAAACCAAAACTGCGAGGGCGCATTATCATCATCATCATTGATGAAAGGAACAACGTTAGCAACATATGAGAGCAAAGCCGCAGAGGCTAAACGAAGAACCATCCCACTAAAACCATCCTATTAAAAAAAAAAAAAAAAAAAAAGGTCGAGCTTGTGGATGTTTTTAATGTTGGCCCGCCTAGGGTGCCTCAATGTCCTTCTGTTTAGGGTGATGCCACCCTTTGTAGTGCCCCATGCCAACGGCACGCGCTCACCGAAAAAATACAAAGAAATCGACGAAAACAAAATGTCGCCATAGCACAGTAAGCGCCACAAGCGCGTGCAGGGACACGCCCTTTCACGCGCTTCTGAACAAAAAATAAAAATAAACGTGTGTGACAAAATGGCGAGATGCCACCACCCTAAGCAGAGCGCACATGAAGGCCCCCTAGGCCCGCCCTGTTCCCGTGCGCTAGCTACCAGCGAAGTCAAAGCTAGAGCGAGCCCAATGCTCTGTGCATTCCTGACTCGCGCGTGGGCCCGTGCAGTGTGGGCACCGTTACGGGCTCCATGCGCGCGCTTGTAGCTTCGGCTGCGCTCGCACCGAAGCTGAAACGAAGTATAGTTGAGTTGCACCAAATTCTGGATGTAGTGCTGGTAACGCCTCACCGTCACTTTTCTGAGCACAACGCACTGCGCGACTCGCGCGACTGTGGTGCCAAGGAGGGCACTCAACGGGTTAACTCGCCGTGATCCGATCGTGACTTCGCCAGCACATCGAAAATGAATCGGAATTTTTGAAGCGAATATCAAATACCGCAATATTTGAAGCTGCTGCCCGAAAGACAACTCTGCTCTGAACTAAAACATTCCACAACAGTGAGGGTCGTTAGATGCTGCTGCAGATACCTTAAAAGAAGTGCAGGCTGATAAAACTAAATATCCTGTACCATCAGAACTCAGTGTGACATATTTAATTGTATTTTTTTCTTATCTTACGAGTAGATAAACTTTATTTAAAAAATGTTTTTTTTGTGTGTTTACTTTGTTGAATTTTATATATCCTGTCTTAAAAAGGCGACAGGCGCTGTGCTCCAATAATAGAGATGGGCTTTTTATAGCAATGCAGCATTATTACATTTTCAAGTAATATGCCAACATATGCCGACCCTGCTCTAAAAGGGCCACTACCTCCTCCAAAACAACAAGGCCTGCTCCAAAAGGTCAAATAGCACTTCCATCACTGTCATTGTCGTCTTTTCCGCCTCCCACCTCGCGATGACCATATTCGCGACTCCAGCGACCTATAGGGGGCGCCACCACCAAACAAACATGGCGGCTGAGTCCAGGTCGCGGCGGCTCGGCCGGGCCGCCTGAACAGTTGGCGCGTTCAATTTAACAGATTTTCTTTTGTTTAATGCCCAATTTTATAGGCATTTGAACTGAGACGGTTAAGTGTAGCGGGTGCAGATAAACTTGCAAAGCATAGTTTTGTTTTGCCGGTGTTTTTTTGTCCTTTTCTGGCCAAACTTTTGTTTCGGAGATTTCGTTCAAAACCGAAACTACGGGCTCCGGAGAGACGGTAATATACTAAACAGTTTGGATCATCTAAGGAAAGCGGCGATGACTATAGAATTGTTCCACAGAGAGTAACTTTTCAGCTAAGTCGCATGCCTCGACCATGCGACTTATCTGTCCGCGAAATCGAGCTTTTGTGCGTATCCGCGTTTACGAAACAGCTCCAGTCGTCTGCTCGGCCAACGACACAGGCTGCAGGAAAATTACGAAAATTAAGCAACCGCTTCTTGAGCCAAGGACCATGTTAACCTGCCGGCGCCCCACTAAGCAGCTGATACTCGTATTTCAATTCAGGTTTTAGTAGCAATCGAGAAGTCATTTTGACGAGCGGGTCATGTATTATATTACGTACTATGGTCCCACTAAAGCGATATTAGTATATCCTTCGGCTTGAAATATGAGCTTAGTTGACTAGCTATTAGGTGAGCTGCTGAATAAAAGTACATTTGACAGACGGAGACATACTACTTAAACTTAGCCAAATGGTTCTATAGCCGGCAGCACGGAGACAAACTGAAGAGAGTCTTTATTGAAGATCCACGCAGAACCTCTCTGCATTGAACTTTGCTTCGAATCCTGAACGGAGAAAATTAGTATTTTTTTTTGTGGCCGGTCAACCTGACCAATGTAGACGTATATTGCAGCTGGCTTCGACGTCCTCGTAATATAAATATTGGATGCGCGATAGGTCAAAATGCCGTGACAGCATCTAACGTTGCGAGACTTGTCTCCCACCTTGTGAAAAAAGATAATTTCCCTCATTCATCATTTGCAGCGAGCAAGTTTTCCTGAATCAAGTAATTGCGAAATCAGCCCAACTCCTTCAGTGTGGTCCAGAGGCTTTTTCGGCGAAAAGCAGCTAAGATGAATAGCCAACGCACCGACCGGCGTGGGTGGCTCAAACTTCAAGCTAACCGAACACAACCAAACTCAAGAAAATCAGCTATCGAACCTTCCCATTCACTTGACTGCAACATTAATGTTCCATCCAGTATCAGTTACCAAGCAGTCGTCCCTTTGAATGTGATTCGAAACAGACAAGAAATCAAAAAGATTTTCCGTGATTCCTCCCCATCCAAGAAATCGAAAGCACGCGACCGTGTGCTGTGGAGTAAACGGGCTTTCAAACAAGTATATAGAAGAAAACAATCTACTGAGGCTTCACCACACTAACGATCACTCAGGCAAACTTAAGAAATATTTTGACCTTCGTCAAATTACATTGTTCGCCACCGCGCCGACAACACGTCTCCGCGAAAGCCACCAGAGACGCGGAGGGGCGCGGAGCGACCTGGACCGGCTGGTTCCCGGTTTTCCCGCTTGGCGGCGTCCGTTTTGCTGGAGTCGCGAATACATGCCTTGCACCTACGTCACATCATGACGTCGAACACCGGTATCTACCATGTTGGTGGTTGACTCGACGGCCCTTCGCAGCGACAGCAATGGTAAACTGCGGCGCGCTCGGCTGTAGCAGTTACTATGTATCCCGACGATCGTCCGATCGTTTCGTCTGCATGACCCGCGAAACAGAGTAGCCGTCAAGTTAGACAAAGCAGAGGCGGCAGAAAAGGGATGCGGCCTCGGATTATTGAGTTTGCGGGACAATTTCATAGTGGCGAGCGACGGCACTTTTCTACCGTTGTTTACGTTCGCGCGCGCCTTTGCATCGGCTTTTGCTCGTTTGTGGTGTATATGGCCTTTGGCCTTCGTTACATAACGCTATTTCCACGCTTCGAGCGCACCTTTGGGGCTCCCCGCAGAGTCCGGGCGAGTGTCGCGCCGCGAGCCCGGCCAGACGGATCGGTCGGCGGCGGCCCCCGCGTGCAAGCTCGCCGAGACGCCGCCGCTGGGTCATCGGTCTGTGCCGTCCGCGAGACGGTAACCTTTGCAAGGAGCGAAAGTATGCGGGCGAGCCGGTTAGGAAACATCCTAATATAAACCCTGAGGTAATGAGAGTTCTCTTGTCCGTTATGTGAATTATCCTTGTCTCAGTGTTTAGATTGTCATGGTAACATTGCGTTGTTTACCAGTATTTCGCAAAATCGTAATTTTTCTACAAGCGACACCTAGAGCCGCTCGTCAAATTATGGGGCGGGCAAATCTTTTTTTTTTTTGACGACGCGGCAATTTTTTCTTCAAAACTTCGTCGGTGGCGTTTCGAAACTTTCTGCTCGTAGCGCAATCGCACCAATGCCAAAAAATTCCGCACGTACTGGATAAACGTCATCATCGTAAGCTCAGCACGTTTTTCCAAGTTCACGTGTAACTCAACTAGATACCTTTGTTGAAAATATGGTGCATGTTAGCGGAGGTCCGGGCCGTTAGCGGCATCCTACGCCTTGGTAAGCGCATTTGCGCGGTCTGAAGTCAACCACCAGTATGGTACGGGGCCCCGTCCTTACCTAGCGTGACGTCACTTGTAAGGCATGTATACGCTCCTAGCACACTCCCACCAAATCTAGCGAGCAACTTCCCTGCTTAGTTTAGCAAGAAATGACTTTACGCTGCGTGCGCGACGTCACATTTGTCCGTGAGGTTACATCTGTTCGTTTTACTAACTTTCGTCCATGGCGTTACATTTATTTTCAAAAATAACCCCCGATCAAGTCAAAACAAACATGGTCTTTGTTAAAGAAAAATAGAAAAACACCGGGAGCGCTTGAAACAGTCGAGGCCCAGGGTGTCTTCTCAGGAACACGACCCGCTACCTTGAGCCTACGGGCACTTACCATTGAAAGCAACGTACCTGCTGCAGCACCAGGGCATTGACGCCTGGAAGGTCAGCTATCCTGCCGAACACGATCCGACCGATCCCGGAAGTGGCTCCCATGCACGTCAGCAGGGACTCGCCGTTTGCTCCTGGCAGTATTTGAGACACGTGCTGCACCTGGGGTTGGAGAATGTTCATCAACACGCAGCAGATCGAGTACAATCTCTTCTTAACATAAAGCTCCGCTGGATTTTCAGCTACACAAACTAAAGACATTTTCGGAACACCCAGGCCTTAATCTTTCCGACAAGCTATTTATGATCTAGATAATTCAAAGTAGTTATTGAAACAACGGCAAATAAAGGTTATGCCAAAACCACATTCAAATCAAGATCCCTTGATTGGTTTGGATCGGGCCTCACCTTGTGGGGGTTATTGGGGCAGGTTGTCTCTATCGTTTCCCTGTTAGAGAGTCCAAGGGTTGACCTTGCGGGGGTTTTCCGGCGTTGCCTGAAAGGGTTCCTTGTTATATAAACTCAAAGCTATGTTCGGAGACGTTGTGTGTTTTCCTTTTTCGTGTCTTCCTCTTCCTTCCCCATCTCAGGTAACCAAACCAAGGACTACTCGCCTTACAGGCACGATAACCCATTCCCTGGCGTGCATGATCCCTGCGAAGCGAATAGTTGTCTTCACCGCAGACATTGGCGCTGTTGCGTGCCACCAGCGGGGAGCTATGCGCACTTTTCCACCGGACGCCATATTTGAGGGCGATGTGTAGAGCGCATGCTCATAACGAGTTCACATTACTAGGTTGTTATGACCGGTAATTTTGTTGGTGCTTAATGCACGTTGCAAAATAACTGGAAGCTTACCTTCTGTACGCGCTCAGCAGTCGCGCACACAGCTACGGCCGCCAGTAAATAGTCTGTATATACTCCGTTCACCCTTAAGCTGAGACTAGAAGCTTCACCTTCAGCGCGAGCTCGCTCGCTTCCGCAGTGCTTCGGTTGTGGGTGCCTGCGTGTTCACACTTGTGTTAGCAAGGGCAGAAAGCTCGCGCTGAAGGTGAACGAAGGAGGCTCTGATCAAAGAAGGGGGTCGTGGGCCGAGCGGGCTGGCGCACACTAAAGTAACTGGATCGTGGGAAAGTAGCGCCAAGCTCCCCGTATGATTGCCATTTTGGATGATGAAATCGGCAATTACTCTGATTTCTCCATTCTTGGTGAGCCAATTTGAATTCGTTGGTAACGTGTAGCTTTGTGGAGAGGCTTGTATACAGACATTTCGCTATGCATACACCGGCGAAACAGGCATGCATCTTCGTACTACCACCACAGCTGAATGCATACACACCGCCAAAGACGCTTATATTGGCGAGGAACGCCTTCAATACGATGATGCTTCACGGTAATCTTAGTGCGACTCGATTTGACCGACCCCATCGAATATTTGAAGGGACCGAAATGGTGATTGCCATAGCAACAGAGTTCGATTAGCCAATCGCTTTGCGAGGTTTTGGTCGTCTGTATGTTAGTATTTGTTTACGTTCGGCTAGCAGGCGGGGAAGGCAATGGCGCTACTTTTCTAGGATCCAGTGACTTTAGCGCACACCAACTCGGAGCACGTGTAGTGAAAGCTCGCGCTGCAGAATCCAGGGCTTTTGGGTTCAATCCTCACCCCTGCACGTTTCGATCTGGATGAGCATGGTTTTGGCATGCTGTCGAGCATCACTACTGTGTGATGCACGTTGAAAACCAAAGGCTAGCAGTCGTACTGCACGAACTAAATTTCTCACCTACAGTGGGTAACAATGTCGCCATACTCTGGCAGGCTAAACTCCTGCTGTATGAATAGCTAACGACAAATTTGTTTTTGAGTAAAGGCCTAAAGTTGAAACTATGTGAAGTGAACTTGGACAAATCGTATGTTCAGAAAGAGTGCAGGGCCACACAGATGTTCTGTTGTGTCCTCCTATCGTTTTCTGAGTTTGTACTGGTTTAATAATTTGTTACAAAACGGGCGTACATTTAACCTAAATGCATTTGATGTTCTCATTTTGCGAATCCGTGGCAAAGCGTTGTGAAAGCCATTCTCGGCAAGTGGAGTGTCGTTACTAGTTATCTGCGCCGCTCACCAGGTGCACGTAAGGAACGAAGTAGCCGAACAGCGCCAGGGGCACGGCAGTCACCCAGAGAATGTATTTCCGGTTGGTCCACAGTGACCTGTGGACCAGGGCGCAGCACTTGCTGAGATGTTCCTCCTAGAGATAGGGACAAGAAGGGATGAAATAAACGCCAGAGAAGACATTCAGTGCAGTTTTAACTTTCATACAGCATATCGTAGAGATGGCGAAACTCCATTTTTCCAAAAACTGTACCCCTGGCGAATCGTAACTTGTTACATTCCCTTCCACCTCTGTAATGCGCGAGGTATGGTGTAATACGCCATAGTCAAACAAATGAATAAAATAAACGTTTGAGCTAATTGTTAGCTAACACATTACTAACAGTTATCTATCTCTTCGGTTTCAGCAAAAGAAATTGTTATACTATCTAATGAATACTCAAACATGTGAGCGAATCGCCCAAAGAGGCCAGGAATATTTATATCCACCCAATAATGGACAGTTGTCTTGAGCATAGCTGAAAACTTTTGAAAGCCTCCCTATAAGACCCGCGAAATTAACTCCCAAAAGTTTAACATACCTAAAAAATTAAGGGCCAATGATTTGGCCAATAGAACCGCACAGATTAGTATCATTTTTACTTACGTCTCGCCTTTAATTGAAACAAATAGGCCTGCATTGAGGACCTTATTTGTTGTATTTAACCTTATCGAGAGCACGCCATTTTAAATGTGAATAAGAGGACGGGTCCGTGCAAATCATTTTATAGACTTAACTACAAATGATAAAGCTGAGTTTCATATTCGTCCGATTTTCCCAAGGTGCGTGAGTTTTCAGACGTACTCGGAGAAGAATTCAGGTCGGTCATGTTCAGCATTTTAATGCCTACCTCGTCCCGAAATCCTCTTTCGTGTGCTATGTTCCGGGGGCTTTTGAAAGTCAGGCCTGCAACCGCCACTGTCGAGAGAAGAACGGCCAGGACCTGTAACGACCACACTTTAAAAAACGCCCAGGTTTCAGCTTCCTCAAGCCGCACCCGGAAATTGAAGGACTGAAATTAAAAAACAAAAAAAAAACAGGCAAACAAAAGCATGGCGTGTTAAAATGGCAATTAACCCTATGGACAGAGTGAAAATGCTAATCTCAATGTTTCATGGTGTTTCCGAGTCGCTAGATTTCTTCCGCAGTAGACTTGCAAGTAACGCTTTGCAACTTGCAAGCATATTTGATTACTTGTAATTAATCACACTTTATTTTAATTTCGTAACGCTTTAATTACATTCTTGAGCAGTAACAATTCTAGTAATTTAATTACTTTTTTAGTGACAAGTTTGTAGCGGATGATTTCTTTCTCCTCTAAAGTTAGAGATGTTGAACTGAACGGAATTTTTTTGTTAAATCGCAGTTCTTATTGAGTAGCTGTTGCAACGCAAGTCACTCCTGTGTCTAATCTGTTGTACTCTGATGGGTGACGTAAGGATTCCAGCCTTACGGCTATGCAGAAGGTGTTGTTTCAGAGCTGGTGTATTCTCACCCAGAGCGTCTTCTGGAGGCCCAGCTGCCTGAGCAGGGCCGACAGCGGCAGCGGCAGCAGCATGGTGAAGGCCGAGCTACCGGCCGACGCAATTCCGTTGGCCAGGCCGAGGCGCCGGTCGAAGTGCAGCGCCAGCACTGCCAGGGAAGGAGCGTACGACAGGGATGCGCCCACGCCGACAAGACCGCCGTATGTGATCCAGAGGAGCGGCACCTGCAAGAACCACTCTCTCTATATCCTATATTTCTCGATATGCACTCACAATAATATAGAAAGTTAATATTTTCTGGCGTATCATTTGGGTTTTTCGCCCGTAATTGCACGCTGTGGATTTCGGGCCAATGTTATCTGCTTCGTGCATACCACAGCACACCCATTACCGACTTTCCCTTTTTTATTCCAAAATTTCGCAAGGTGGTGCATAAAATACGTCACCAAGCTTCCAGGTTCTAAAAGACCGCCGTCGACCCCTTCGAAATCGACGGCACCTAGCGGCTAAAATAGAAAGCTGTCGCGGTAGGTTCGATCATCAGCTTTTTTCGCGCGGATCAGATATTCACTGCGCCTGGCAGTCTAAAGAGAAGGTAACCGGACAAAAGCTCATCGGACAAAAGCTCACCCGTTTGTTACCAGACCCGGGCAAAAGCTCAACATTTATTTTTGCTACTTGGCGAAACACGGGCTGGGATAAAGTGCGGACACGATGGACATTGCATAATTTTTTAGGAGAACTGGTACCCCATCCCATACAAAGGTATCTACAGATAAGCCATAACAGGCAGAGAAGCAACGATTTGGGACCGAAATTTAGTGGAGCTGATAATATTAAGCTTGCTTGACTCAACGTATGCCGGAGCACCCTTGTGCCATACGCAAGCAAATTCGTGAACCGAATTTTTTGAGCCCAAAGAGTGACCGCAGAAGCGAAGACACTCTTCGATGTCCTCGCTTTTCCATTGTGCTTATGTCACGCTAAACGCGCACATAAAGGTTAGGCACAATGTCTTGGAAGTGAATGATAAGAAAAATTAAATTCCTTCCGCCATTGTGCGTCGTAAATGTATTTGAGATCAAGGATTATTTATATCAGGGTGATGTGAAAGGGAAACGGTAGCAAAACTGTATAGTACAAATCATTAAGTTGCGAGTTTTTAAAAAATATTTTGAAGGAACGAGAGTTGGGCCTTTTGGACAAGCACAAGTCAGATGACCACTTTAGGAAGCTGTGCGGGATTTTGGATAGGCTGGCGTTGCTTCCATCACAGCTTGTGTTCGAAGGACTAACCTACATCAGGGAAAAGTCTACCGGTGACATCGGCGACCTGCTGTACTACCTGATTGCACGTATGTCAACGGCCCCTACCATACTCCTTCTGCAGCGGCGCCCAAAGCGAATTCTTTCCTTGGCCTGACTGTGCGCCGACGATGACCGGAATTTCCCCCGGAATGGTAGAGTATGTATGACGCCACTCTTCAAGATAAAGACCGGACCAACAACACCAGCGAAGGATGGAATTCTAGGTTCCATAAGCTTGTCGGCCATGCCCATCCAAGCGTCTGGACTCTGGAGGCTGATTGAACACGGACAGAAAAATCAAGCGCTTCTCGCCACGGCATTGACACAAGCCCGGAGAGGTGAACCCCGAGAGAAGCGGGTGCGAAAAACCACTCTGCGCATGCAGAATCGTCTGAAAAATATTTGCGAGGGATTACAAGTACACCCAGATCTACCAAGACTGCTGGAGCTAGTGGGGGACTGCATTCGCTTCTAACCTAACCTTCTATTAGTTAGAAGGTTAGAAGCATTCGCTTCTAACCTTCTAACTAAACTTGTTTCTACTCTAAGCAACAAACCATGCGCCTGTCAGAGTTAATTTATCGTTGCATTTTTGCGTCGCACGCATGAGCCTATGTTGTCCGCACTCGTGTTAAGACCGACATGTAATTTTATCCTGGTGAGCTTTTGTACGGGTCTGTGAAAAATGGGTGAGCTCTTGTCCGGTGAGCTTTTGTCCGGGATTCTAAAGACAAACCCGTTAAAGCAGGCTCAAAACCACGTCATGAAAATCTTCAATAACTGTTACTGGCAAGGAATTGTTCATAGTTAATGCGCAACTATCAAACGTTGTGGTGCGAGGGCGTGGCTTCATCTCATATGCTCGGAAGGTCGCGCAAATGAACCGCAAGACCAAGCCACGAGCTGGCGCACGTAGCTGTGACAGCGTTGTACATAAAGCATGAAATAGAATATGCGGGCCGAAACTCGGAGAAAGGAAGAGACAAGAGCACGCGGGGACGTCAGAACACCGAGCTGTGACTGGAATGATGAGTTGGTAGGCGTGAAACTAGCTTCCTTCGGATCTACTCACTTATCAAACGCGCGCCGGAGTCCGGCGTTAGCGTTCGATCGCGAACCATTGGTATCGATGTGTGGGAAATTCCACGCGGGAGGAGCCGTAGTTTCGTTCGTTTACGACCATCTCAATCAGAAATATGCTGGTCTTTCCAGTATAGATCATGCAAGCCGGTTCTTTCTTTAAACAGTTGTCACAAAAACAAGACTACAAAAACGAAAAAAACTAAAAAAAGCTGAATAGGCTACTTTTACACATCCCTGCAAGCAACACTGAGCGGTTTGCATTATAGGCCATGGAGAGGAGTGTCGTAGTTTCAATTTCAATTGCCCTATTTACGAAGTAGTGCATCTCAGCACTGCGTCAGCGCTCACTCCCATTGGACCCATTCATCTTGGTGAGGACAGCCCCCGTCCAAACACGGACCACCAGCCGCCGTAAGGACCAGCCTATACTTAGCGAGGGGTAGGGGTAAGACCCGCCACGTCCCATACCCTTGTGGATGTCTGGATACCACTCCAGAGTGCAGCTTGATCCTCCCGGGCCACGGATCATTTAAGAAACCTAGGACGTTGAGACGACGAAAAATTTCTTCTTCCTTTGTTTGCCTGCGCACAAACTCTGGTACGTCGGAAGCCCCCCAAAACGTGCGCTGGCATCATATCTGTATCAACGCCATAAGAAAAGTCGCATGTTCGAACATGCGCGCGCTGTATTTGATTGTGTGACGGGATGTCGTGAATTTAGGTAGGAAAATCTATACCAAGACAATGGCCAAAACGTACATAAGATGCATTGGACGGCACTACGCCGGTAGGATCTCTCCAGTTTTGCGAGAGTTATTCGTCTAAAAGACCCAATGACCTCGGCCCGCTCCAAATCCGGTCCTCGCTTTGCATCCAAGAGTTTCTCAGAACATTTCGCCCGTCGCGTCAAAGCATGACGTGGCAACCCGTGATTTTTTTTTAGAAACAATATTGGACGTATGCAAAGGAAATACCGTTTTTAAACAACCTGAAACAAAAAATGGATGTGATGAAATAAATTTGTAAAAAGAAAAATTTAGAACTATATTTACGGCGCAAAACGAATTTGTAGTTGGCCCGTAGCTCGCGGAAAAGTGCCAACTAGCAGTTACGTGAATGGCCACTAAAGTCACGTTTGCTTCCGCTCATTCGGGAGCTTCCTATGGGCTCTAAAAGCTACTTATTAGTCTTTAAAAAAAAAAAAAAAAAAGAAATGCAACAAAAAAGGCAAAACTACCTTTTAGTTTTTTTTGTTTTTTTTGTTCCACAAAGTTTTTGATGTTTGACATTATCAAAACAAATTTTTTGATGTTTGAGAAACAAGTCTAATAAAATTTTCTCTTCCGTTTGGACTCATAAGCATAGAGCGGGAGCTGCGATTCGCCGGCACCGCTGTCCGCAGACGCACCGCTGGCCTCAAAGCTTTCCGCGGGACGTTCGCTGGTCTTCGAAGCGTGTCCTTGTAAAAGCGAAGTTACTTGATGCGGTCAAGAGTTCTTCGTATCAACTCCGGGTCCATCGCAAAAGACGCAGATTACCACTGTTACCACCACCAGCACAGAAACCCACTAACACAACGCACGCCGAAGTTAGCGGAAGTCGCACTAGGCTTGCGTAAATTTTTCAGCCCAGCAGCCAAGCCGATCCAAGCAGCTGACCTCTCCTTCACGCGACACACGCAGGCGCGAGAGAGAAAAGTGGAAAGGGGACCGTTATGCCTCGCTTGACAAAAACTCGTCTGGTGTTATAAATCGTCTTGCAACCTAAATGCTGTAAAAATTTTGTTCGTTGTATTTTCGTTCTATTACTACCTTTTTTTCTATCCAGGTTGTTTATTTTTTTTTCCTTTGCATATATCTTTTACGCATGTCATCGCAGCTCAATGCTCCCTCAACGAAACTAATAGCAGCCTTCGTGCTTCCTTATATCTGCGCATTCAGTACTTCCACAAAACCTCTCACAGGCTCAAATCGCTGGCCCTCCGACATAACACTAAGTCCTCTTTTCATGCCGCTTCAAACTCTCCACTTTGCAAAAGGTCAACAGCCCGACTCGACGACAGGCGTGCTCGAAAAAGCGTGCCACCAAATATGTCCTCTGCACAAAGCGCTGTGAGTACTCGATTTCGCTTCGGTGCCCCTAGAAATAAGATACCCACCAAGTTAAACCAGCGCCTTTTAACCGATCCGACCAACCGATAGGCTGTGATAGCCCAGCATATCCTCACTTGCACCAATTGTGATTCAAAATTTACTGGCTTCGTCAAAGTGGGGAGTCAAAGGTCTCTATACGGCTGCGCATCAACAACGCACTGATCCCCCCCCCCCCCCCCCCCCCCTCCGCCACCCTCGTCTTTATGCCTGGTTGTTTGCTTTTTTTTGTTTTCGTTTCTGTTACTGACAGAATGAAAGTGAGATGGAAATTTTGTGTAGCGTATAGCCATAGCTTTTTCTATATTCATAAAGCCTGGCAGTTCGACAACGGAGTCATAAAGTGCCTGGTCGCCGATTTGGAGCGCGAGGGCCTGGTAGCACAGAGCATCAAAGAGCATTTCTCGGGAAGCCTTAACGTCAGCGCACAGCTTTTGTTGCGGCGAGGACCCGAAACACACTTGTTCGCTCGGGAAAAGTGTGTTTCTGCGTCTCGCCGCAGCGGGGTGCAAGTCATGTGGCTCTCCTCTCATCCGTTGTCTGCCGCTCCACCTTTTCCATTTTGGCAGCTGCTTCTCATGGCGATCTGCCAAGCTTTGTCAGTATATAGGAGGCTATGGTATAGCATAACGGCGAGGGGTGAGACAGACTGCCTAAGTGCACGGCCACTGCACTATCTGATAAGGGGTTCTCCTTCCTGTGCCGGGAGCCCGATGTTTTGTACAAATATTGTGCTTTTCAATAAACAATCGAGCTGTAAGTAGCGCACGGTGTCGTCCCTTTTTCTGCCCCTGTCTTTGAGGCGCTTATTCTTCTTTTGGTGCGCCGACCAGCCCAACTATTCAATTTGCTTCATTGTGTAAACCAGGCCGCAGGCAGGGCAACGTACTGAGGTTTAAAGCAGCTAACTGCGGTCCCACCTGGAGCAGCCAGGAACTTAGCACGAGCCCTGACGCGGCCAGGAGGCCTCCCAAGACCACTGTACTCTTGAAGCCAATCCGGTCCGCCAGGAGGCTTGCCACGGGGGACAGCGAGAAGGTGGCGCCCACGCACAGGGAGCCAACCAGGGCTGCACATGAAGCACGCCTTTTAGTCACTGCCGCCGGCTTTATTCACACTCCACGAAACTGGGAACGCGAACAAGCCATCGCCAGTTTTCTGCTTTCCTCAATCTTGGCTAGTATTACGATACTTGTATCGCGATACTCTAATCTGTTACTTTTTTTTTGTAACTTTTAACTTAAAGTCGATACATTTTTAAGTAACTGTAACGACAACCTAAATACTTTTTTCGAAAAAGTAACTGCAAAGATAGATATTTTTCGCTAAAAAAGTACTCTATTTTGTCAACACTTCAGCGAGTTGCACCATGTGCGGAGGTTGGGCCCCACATTAGACGCGGCAAAATAAAACCAGAACTTAAAACAAATTTCGTTGAAGTTAACTGCCGGTGCAGAGTGTAGTCTCCTCAAGGAACACAACTGAAAGAACGACACGTCGACTCAAGCAGGACGCCCATTCTATTCTCTGCAACACAAAAAATGCAAACCGGTGGTGATGATTATAGGCAAGTCACGCGCTGCAGCCTGAACCAAAAAACAATATTAACTTCCCCCATGGTTGGGCAGAAATACTCAAAATTGTATTTGGAAATACAAATACTGGGATACATTAAAATAGTAGCTAAAATACTGATGCTGAGATATATCTGCAAAAGTGTATCGCGATATGTATCGGAAATACACTTTAAATAGAGGCAAAAAGTCTTTGGAAATACGGATACAGGAATATATTTTAGGGAGGGCAGAAATACAAATACAAAAATACTGATGCTGCAATACATTTTTTTAAATTTGTTTGAGACGCCAAATGAGATGATGTTGGAATGGAAGTTTTTGATCCCGAAATTACTTTCCCGTAGGCTTGGCACTTTGCCTTGAAGGTAGTGGTTTCGAACGACAAAAAGTCTTCAATAGGCTAAAAAAAAAAAAAAAAAAAAAAAAAAAACGTTTTCGCTATTTGAGGTGCAAGAACTAATGTCGAGACGTTCCAGGAACGCCCATCTTCCAGCTAATAAATGCCTGGCCCTTTCTGGTTCAGGATTTTCATCGGCGCCGTGTACCGTTGCAATTTCTTCTTGCCACCAGGAGGCTTTTGTATTCGGACAAAATGGCCAACCTTGAATTATGGAACTTTCGCCCCTCGCCTTCAATCTGTATACGCATCGCTTTTGAACTGAAAGTGCTCCGCTCTCTTACGAAGCAGCTTCATCCCGACCTCGGGCTTTTTTGTGAAGTCTTTGACGGCATCCCTGCAATGCCCAGTCTAGTTTTTGGCTGTCTTCCATGAAGAAGAAGAGCAGGAGAGACTCTGGTGGTGCCATTAGGCTGCATCTGTATACACCTAAGTAGTCGACGACTGCAACTGTAGGGGACGCGCCTCCAGAATGACAAGCCTAATGAAGTCTTTCACAACACAATTTTTTCAGTCAGCCCGCTTGCTTGAGGATAATAGACGAATGACAAGCAATGTCGAATTCCTCTTTCCTGAAGAGGATCTACGAACTCCTTTGACTTGAATGGTGGGCCGTTATCAGTGACAATTTCGTCGGGGTAGCCTTCTCTGCTGAACGCCGATCTCAGGGACTGCAAGGCGGCTTCAGATGCCGCATTCCAAGTGGAGCAGAGCTCGGGCCAGTTTGAATGGTAGTCGAAAAGTGTGATAACAAATCTTTTATCTGGTGGACCTTTAGACAACGGTCACGCAATGTTCATAGCCAACTTGTCCCAGAGCCGATCCAACAAAGCAACCGGCTGTAGTGGTGCGGGCACAGGTTTGGCGGACTTTTCTGCTGCATGGCATGTGTGACAGTTTCGCTCCTCTAACTCCACTTAACAGTCCATAGAAAACCACCAAAACCGGTCCCTCAGCCTTTGCTTTGTCCGGACAATACCTGGGTGGGCTTCATGGGCGTTGTGTACCAGGACTGGTGTGAGGGCTTCAAGTATGGCCACTTCGTGATTCCTCAGCAGGAGGTTGTCAAAAACCGAAAGCTCTTCCCGAACGTAGTAAAAAGGAAGCAGGTCAGAGGCTTGGCCCGTCACTTGAACAACCATGTCCGGTGACCATTTCTAATTTTGATGAAAAAAAAATATTTTGCTGTCTCCATGCCAAGATGAATAAAAACAGCCTTTGTTTTGGGAAAAAGAAATTTGTCTTTGCGAAACAAATTGGTATAAGCACCTTCTCAGTCACGTGCGCGTTTCGCGTATCGCGCGATGTTGGCTTTTCGGGTGGCTTCCCCCAATAAAACTGTTCTGGCTACGTGTCTAGAAATCTTTACTAACAAATTAGGTGTAAGAAGGATTGACAAAAAATATGAATCACCGAGTATTATAGTCGTTATTTTGAGAAACAAAATAGCAAATACGTCATATTGTGCAATAACGCATGGATTAAAGATTTTTTCCCCTTATCTGTAAAGGCTAAGGTCTTCAAACTTTCCCAGTGCGTTGCTCTATATATATATAGTTCATCTGTGCATGAAATGTCGTTGTCCTTGTTGGCGGCAGAAATTTACAGGATTTGCTCACACAAGGGCATTTAACTAAAAATGCATTACTTTGAAAATCATTTAAAAAAGGCCATTTGTAATTTTCTTTATATTCTCCGATATTAACATTTATAATATGTACTACAGAATCTTCAAAAAAAAAAACATAATGCAATATTTGTGTGTCTTTGAAGTTATAAAGCGAGAAATATGGGACAAATTCACGCTAACGCGTTTGCCATAAATGGGGCGTGCCAATACCGATTCTTCACAATTTCATTATTATTAAAAAGCGCAAAAATGCTACGGGGTCATCAGTCAAATGCAAACTGAGAGCACAGAGGTGGATGGTAGTTTTGAAGGGAAAATTCCTAATGCATTTTTGTACCACCGACCCGAAAATGCCCATGGGCTGGAGCGTTCGAGGGGCGCCACCCTGTAACATGCTTCGTGGTGCCTGTTTCAACAGCCAGCGTCTCCGTCTACGCGACTTAAAGGAAGCACCTGGAGCCACTTTGCAAACAGATCAGCCTACAACCTTGGCTGTAACATGATATAGGAGGTAGGGCACAAAATCAATGGTGTCTAACTTCACCTGCGGCGCTACAGCGGTGTACACAAATCTATAGATTTTGTGCTCCGCTGTAGCGACGCAGGTGAAGATAGGCAGAATTTGGTTCCTACCGATAAACGCTGAGAATTAACCGCCGAGCTGGTTTTATCAAAATAGGGGAAAATAAACAAAAACGAACTATAGCTGTCCCCAAATAAAAAATGTTCGAGCTTAAAGTTTTCCTTGACCGAGAACACAACCCGCACTAAACCGTCCGTAAAGCTGCCCCCTTTTTTTTTTCTTTTTTTTTGTTGGTACCAAGACGTTTTTTAGGTATCCAAGTGATGTGCGTTTGCTGATGAGTACGACTACCTATTTCCCCTTGTTAGTTAAATTACCCTCAAGAAAGATTGTCAGGTCACATGAACGGCTCCTGGGGGAGAAAGTTCCCAGTGTTCCAGCCGATTCAGCGTTGCCGAGAAATAGCTTTGCATGCCGCTCCTAAAGTGGACCAGTGCGATTAATTTTACTTACATATCAAACCTGTTAACACTCTTTCTCCGCGCAGGAATCGAACCTGAATAATCCAAGCGAGTACGGACTTACGGCAGCTTTGGCCTGTATCGCTAGGTGTCCTGTTGAAGGCAGTTGCCTGACCTTAAACTTTCTCTTGCGACTATTTCAACGGTCGGGAGAGATACCCGCATTCACCAGAAGACCAGCCCTGGAGGATGGGGAATCGCATGTCCTATTTTTGGAACATAGGCCGCGATAAACACCTATCTTTTGCTCGGCACGGACAGTTGACAGCGAGCACCGAGTCTGTTGTAAAAAATGATCCCCGAGAAAACACCCCCGAAATCGAAGAAAAAGAAAACCACGGAAATTGGCTATTAGAAAGGTTTCGTGTTTTCGGATAAATCCGAAAAATTCCGAAGAACACTCGCCGGTTCATTCTACATTAATTCGGATTTATCCGAAAAACTTAAAATTTTCGAGGTCACAACGACGAGAAAAAAAAAGACTATTTTTTACAAATAATTTTAATAACATCGCAAGTCAGTGGTCCCAAGGAAATGCCACCTCAGTTTTCTTTGAAATCTCAAACTACTGACAAAAGGGGTTTGCCTTTCAGCTCGTCAAAGTTCCTTCAGTGCAACGGGTCATGGTACCCGGATGTTATTTATATTGTTTTTAATTTTTTTTAAATTGTGTTTACAGAAAATTAACTTTTGAATTTCAGAAAATTGGTAATTCAACTAAAATAAACTTTGATAAACCCTGCATTTTCAACAAAGAAGAAACTCCGAAAACACGGAATCCTAGCTATAACAATCCCTACAACACTACTCGTAAGGCGATATCTCGAATGGACGGCCGCATTTTCGGAAAAAGAAGTCGAGATTGAACCAGGCCGACGAGGCGCGTGTCGTGAAGATATCTCGTTTCCTCCTCTCTTCGCTTCGCCCCCTCAAGGCGGCGAAGCGGAGAAGACGCGAGGCCGTTCCTTCTCCTTCTCGGAGAAGCATGACGTAAACATATCGGTAAAATGTGCCCCCTTTTTTTTCTGAAAAATACGGTCATCTGTTTGAGATACCGTTGTATGAGTGATGTTTTGTTGTTTGTTGCATCCCGTTGCACGCTTTGGCATTCTGTTTTGTGGAATCCAGATTTTGGTTCAGCGTTCTATGTGTATGAGTTACTAAACCTTGACAGTGGGCGAACGTTAATTGCCTTAGCTGGATTCTTTCCGTTACCATTGCTTCCAAAGAGTTAACTCCACAGTCGCACTACTCGATCATTTCTAACTCTCACTATTCTAATCTCTCATGCTGGGAGACTAAGAGGATCGTGCTAACATGGGCCCACCTCGCACTTTTTTACCTGTTCGAACATTTACGACACTACAGCGATATAGTACTCGGTAAATAAATCCACGAGATAATAAAATGATTTATACTCTTTCTTGACTGCCCATATGAAGTCGCTCTTCTACTCCGCTTGTGCAAAAAGCGAACGCAACGGCCTCCAAGGATCAGTCAGGACAATGGAAAGAAGCACGTGACAGACCTTCGCAAAAAGTGCGCTCTCCGACGGTACGTTGTTACGCGTCTCACACCGACGCTTGGATTGGCTCGCCTGGATCAAAAAAGGGTATGCGCTACCCTGGACACCGGAAAAAGCGACGCCACCCAGCGGGGTGAAAAAAAAACAACAAAACGTTAAGGAGAGGAGTGGAGAACCGATATGTGAAAACGACGGAAGGGGAATAATGCACGCCGCATTGCTTTGCAATGCGCCGAGAAACTGAGAGAGGAGGAGACTAGAGGGGGCGTCAGAACGCCGAGCTCTGGTTGGAAGGATTAGGGGGTAGACCTTTGCCTCCACTGCCAGCCGGCGTCCCTCCTTCTAAATACTGATCTCTACCGTAGTAGGCTCGAGCGCGGACCAAGGTTTGTCTTTCTACAGGGTGAAACAACGAGACGCCAGGCTTTTTAAATCGACCGGAAAATTCGGTTTCTTAACCTATCGCGCTACGACTTTGTGCAGCGTTGCCCACAGACGGTGCTTTTTTTTTTTTTTTTTGTAAAATTTGCGAAGAGCGAAGTTACCTGAGGAAAAAGTAAAGAAAAAAAAAGGCTAAGCTCCTATGGAAACGCAGCGACGCCACCGGTCTTCAAACAACACGGCGCCGTTTCGCACGGGAGACAAGAGATGGCGCAAGCGGTCGCGACGCCAACTGCCGCCAACGAACGAGCAGACGACGCCGAGAGCCGGCGTATTTAGCAGACAAGGAACTGCAGTTCCTTGCTGTTACCGCGCCTGTCTTTTTTGTTTCTGCGACTGTCACCGCCTGCAGAACGCGCGATGCTTTTGAGTCGAAAAGATCGTCTCTAAAAAGGCCTGCTCTCGGCGCCGTATGCTCGTTCGTTGGCGGCGTTTGTTGCGTCATCTCTTGTCTCCCGTGCGAAATGGCGCCGTGTTGTTTGCACACCGGTGGCGTCGCTGCGTTTCCATAGGAGCTAAGCCTTTTTCTTTCTTTACTTTTTTCTCAGGTAAGTTCGCTCTTCGCAAATTTTACAAAAAAAAAAAAAAAAAGCACCATCTGTGGGCAACGCTGCACAAAGTCGTAGCGCGATAGATTAAGAAACCGAATTTTCCAGTCGATTTAAAGAGCCTGGCGTCTCCTTGTTTCACCCTGTAGTGTCGAGTGGCACCACCTTGGACTCTAGAAGAAGCTTGCTCGGGGAGACTCTGGAATACACTCAAAAATGTGTAACCACCGAATTTGTCGAAATTAGCGAGTACTGTGGAGCTGAAGGACCACCGTTTCCATAATTTCTCGAGTACGGGCCGGGGCCTGTACTCGAGAAAGCCGCAGTCAATATGGAATTTTTCCGACATTCATCAACTTCTGGGCTTCCCCGAAGACGGTCTCATTGACGGCAAGTTCCTTTGTTTACTGTGTTACGAGAGCAAGCTTTCCAGCTCAGCCGTGGGTGCTCTGGTACGTTTGATTTTTTAATGGGTGTTCGAACGCTTGACAAATACCGATTCGATCTTCAAACACCCGATATAATTAATAATCGCAGCACATCATAAAATACTTGCCTTCGAGCGCAGCGCACAAGTTTAAATATTTCTACTTTATTGTGTTTCTCCCATAGCCTTGCTTGTATTGCCTGGTGTCAAGTAATGTCCACCGGTGATGCCACCGCCGGGCTCTCGATCCGCGATGCAGCCTACTACAATGGAGATCAGTGGTTCTAACGTGTTCGACGTGCGCAGTGGAGCCAAAGGCTGCCTTTGTCTTCACTGCACTCCTCGCGTGTTCGAATGCGAAAGTCGAGCGTGGGGCGCCGGCGTTCGGCGTTCTAACGGGTTCGACAAGTGCAGTGCAGCCAAACGCAGCCAGCTTCAGGTCTACCCACTACTCGTTCCCGCCAGAGCTCGGCGTTCTCACGTCCCCTCTCGTATCTTCCTCTCCCTCAATCTCTTGCCATATGGGCAAAAATTACCGGCCAGTTAATTTTAATTAGTAGTACGCACTACATAAAGAGTGGTCGTAAAATAAATGGGCCGTAATATTCATTAAAAACACGACCAGAGAAATTTTGATAGACACCGGCTTGACTCGAAGGTACTTTGATTTACGAATAGACACATCTGAACAAAAAACTCAAATTACAAATCACAGTATTTTTTTTTCCGCGACGTTATTCATTTTTAAATTCTGCTTTGAGAAGCTTAGAGGCTCTACCGTCAACACAGAAAACGCGGTCAAATGTAATATAGATGTAGTTCGCTCCATACAGGTTACAGAAGTTTGATGGTATACAATTAATAATATAAAAAACTCCCGCGTGCAAAATTAAAAAAAAAGAATACGCAAAATATTGTGTTTTTAACACTCCGCTGGACTTGCATGTAATACAACATGTGACTTCACTGCGCTGGAGAAATTAAATGTTGTTTTCGGCACAACCTTTGTGAGTATCCTAAATTAAGAGACAATAAATAGCATTCCGGGAAGAGTAAAATCTGTGTATTCCGAAAATGCGTTTGGATTGTGTAGTTTCAAAGACCACCGGAGCTCCCTTTCAAAGAATCATCATCATCATCATGCTTCGAGAGCACCGCGGTCAGCAGTGATTGCTCAGGTGTCGCTCACAGGTGTGGAAGGACGCTCGCTCGTCATCCTCCGTCAGCCTGTAGATCTCCGGGTAGAGCACTCCGAAGCAGTTGATGAGGCCGAACACTGCGCCGTGCACCCAGAAGGACGCCAGGCACACGAGCCACCCCCAGCCACCGTCGGAAGGAGCCGGTTTCTCTCTTGCCGCGTTACCATCCAACAGAGACGCTCGTCGTTTTTCGGGATCCACTGCGCCACTGCCGCCCGACATTCAAGCTTCCCCAAAACGCGCACTTTCTTCCGCGGAAAAGCTAAATGAACTGTCATAAAATCGCGTGTTTCACAGAACGCGCCGCAAGATCAGCGAGCTCGAAAGTTTCGCCGAGGACCTCGTTGAACGGAATGACTGTGAACGTGACTGGCGCAAGTGGTCCACGAATATAGGTAGCAGAGTGGGGTGCGAGCAGCGTCTCTGGCTCCGGGGCCGTTTGGAGATCGCTCACGTGAGCGAGGGTTCCCATTGCTTAATCTCTGCCCGGTGGTGACACAAATGAGCGGCATTCTTTTCGTGCCTCGGTTGTTCTCTCTTCGCACTCCCGTCGTACCAGAGAGACGAGGCGGCCCCTTTTTCTTTTCGGGTGCCGTGCCAAAAGAGCCAGTTGCCTCATCCCCGCACTCTTCCAACTTTACCGGCAGGTTCCTTTTTTGTTTCTTTCTCTTTTTCTTTAATGTCAGAACGGGTTTATAACTCGTGGCCCTAAATTTTTTCAACTGATTGTCATTTTTCGTTTACTTAGCACTCCAGGTGATGTCGCTTAACGTGTCTGCTTTTCGACAGACCATTCCTAAAATACATCTTTACCGTCGAAACTGTAGGGCCAGGGTCAAAGAAGCGTATATTCCGCATCCGCGCCCGGCGTTTATGCTCCGCAGGGGCATATTTCGATTAAAAAAGAAGAAACAAAATATATTCTTCCTGAAAGGGCATATGCGGTTAATTCCGAGAAATTTGAATTAATCGTTGATTATATATCCCGAAGTCGCAATAAACGCCTCTACGTCATATATTAAAAAAAATAGTGCGATATTTTTCGCACATTCTAAAACTCGCAACAAAGCGTCGCTTGTATAGCTTCGCTGAAAAAATTTAGACGTTTACGAATCTCTGTAGCGCGAAATTAGAGTGCAGCTCTTGACGAGAAAGAGAGAAGGGTTCGGAGGGTATTCCATCCTCCTTCTCTCTCCTCTTCCTCTCCTATTCCTCCTCCTTCCATCCTCTCCCCTCCTCCTCTCCCATCCTTCTTGTTCGCACCTTCCCCTCCTCACGTGACGTCGATTTTCCCACTAAATCTAGCAGAGAAACTGAATTTCTTCATAGGTAACGTGAAACCAAGTCGTGTGACGTCACTTCTGTTTCTATTGTCACGGGTGGTGACCAAATAAACAATAAATAAACAAAAAGAAATAAACATTTAATGTGGCAAACTTGCGCCAAAAATAAAAGGGTAGAAAAGAAAACAGCAGAGCGTCGCGGGCGTCGATGTCGGCGAAACCGCAGGATCGAGCGCAGGGGCGAGACTGACTCGACAAGGTCGCGGGCGGCCTCTTATCTAAGGTGAGTCACTATCTCGAAGATTCGGCGGAGAAGGTTCGAGCGTAGCGCGCTCGGGGCGAGAATGAACACGCACTTTCTGGAACAACAAAAGCAGGGACAAACGATAGAAGTTACGTCTGGAACAAGAATAAACGAGAACTTTCTAGAGGTTCGTGATCGAGCGTTGCTTTCTGAGCCCTGCGCGCGGCATTATAGAAACAGAAGTGACCTAGCGGTAGGAGGAACGTAACCCAGCAACGGCGCGCACCGCGAAACCGCCCTCTTTGAAACCGTGGTGACATGGCGAGATTGGCGTCTGTCACCCTTTTGAGAGACGTCAAGAGCCAACCCCCGGAGAGCGGAAGGAGCTACGCTGTCCCCCTGCCGTACCTACGCTTTCCCGGCCGTACCTACGTGGAACCTAGTCCCTACGCAAGCGTCCGTTTTTCTGGCAACCGGAGGAGTATTTTCTGCTTTTAGTGGAGCGATGGCAGCGCATCCATCGAGGCGGCGACCTTCACATATGAATAGTTCAAAGAAACTTGTCAAACTAAAAAATATACACTTGTTCATTTAAAATAAATAACAGATTTTGTAGCGGTTCTAGAAACTATTAGATGGAGGAAAGTCGTATAAAAGGTTAACACAACATGCCGGACGCGGATAGCCGCCGAGTTCAAATCACTGTCGCTGATGACTGCTCAATAAACGGGAGGATGTGACTTGTCATGCTCACTCTTCTTGCGTCGTGACTCGTTCCTCGGCGTTCTCACCGGCTAATGCGGCTGTCTCATTCGCTGCGAAGCGATAATAAAAGCTTCCAGACTTGCAGCACCCGGCGTTTCTTAAATTGTCATTGAATATGATTTAAACAACATGGAGGACGGGAACAGGCAGCGTGTGACCTCGGCCCAGGGAAAGAAGCTCGATACATCTATGTTCGATAAACCCTCTCTGGTACGCGGCGCAACTGAGCTGAGCCCAGCGCTGACCAGAGACGACAAGGTTCGTCTTTGGAACGAGCTCACCTCCCGGCTCAACTTCCTTGGGCCTCCGAAGAAGGAGCCGGAAGGTTGTAAAAGGTACTCGGCCGTCCGGGTGTCGAAGGCGCGGGCAAGGGCTGCAGAGCTGGCGAAACAGGCAAGGTAATCTGCGTAGTCTACTCATAGTGTGGACCAAGCTATTGAATTACTTCCTTTACTCACCGGCAAACAGGGGGCGGAGGCGCCCGGGTGCGCTCACTGGCGTCATCGTACGCACGTATTTTGACGCTGGTGGGCGAGGACTTGGCCCTGGGCGCTCCCGGGTTTTCTGTCCCCGCGTTTGAGGACGAGGCCCAGGTGAGGACACACTTGAACATGACATACATTGCACATGTAGCTGTTCGATCCCAATAGGGGTGGAGAATATCCGTGCAGAGTTTTATTATCAGTGAGCTACGATGTATAATGAAATATAATAAATATCAACTTGAATATATGCATTAAATGTGCTAACACTTTTTATATTTCAGCGAATCAGAGAGTGAAATGCCATTTCTGTACCATAGAGGTACATTTTTGCAGAACAGGGGCAGTGAAACCTTTCGAGCTGCCACTAAACACATTTGGGGAGTCAATCCTTGACATGAACATACACTGTTAGCGAGTCCCGTGTATTTGGTGAATATTTGGGGTGAAAAACACGCAATTTACACAAATTACCATGGATTTACACGTTGAATAATAGATAATTTGTTCAAAAAGCATGCGAGGTTGTAAAAAACCTCAAAAACACGCCTCACCCCCGGCGACGACCGCAGCATTGCCGGCTATTGAAGTACCGGAATGCTTGGGGACACACAGTAGAAAGGGCCGTGGAGACAAATGCCGCGGAAAGAAACATGTCTCGGAGACAGATATGCACCAAAAGCAATTGCGCCATGTCGCAGGACGTTGGCGAAGCCTGCGGGCCTGCGCTCCTCAGGCGCTGCTATTCACTCTGGTCAATGGCAATGCGGCTTCCCTCATGTCCCCCATGTTTGAATTTATTCTAGGGGTCTTGATAATAGTTTCTTACACACCACAAATAAAGTTGTTGGTCTAATTACTCGTTCTAAACAGTTAAAATGGATATAAAAAGCGTGTCCTCGATCTGAACACGTGACATTGCAGTTGGTTTTGTTTTGGCTTCAACTGCAAGCGAAACGATCGTGTAACCCCAGCAAGGGGGGAAGGTGCCGCCGCTTTCCATGCACCCTCCTCAGAATTCACGGCGCTCCGTGGTGGCCGCCATATTAAAACTTTATGCCAGTGTTGCTGCATCTGTAGGTCATCTCTAAGTTAGAGCTGACAAAAAAGATCTGGCCACGGCGCAACGCCGATGTACGCTGGAAGCTAGAGCCGGTTTGCTTTCGTTGTTTTTGTTTGGTCGGAGAAAATCTGGCAGCAACGCACGTTTAGCATGGCGCCGGTATTGTTTTGGTTTGACGGGATGCGAGAAACTCTGCGGATTGCGAGCAGATGTAGCGAAGACATAATTGGAGAAGTGCCCCTGTGATGTTCCCGGAAGACGGAAAGTGTCATTTGTAATCGTCGTGTGTGCTTTGAAAGCGAAGGGTGTCGCAGCGTCCACGAGTGCGCAACTACTAGCCAAGGTTCACGATAGCGCTGCGTTGACTTCGGCGATCTCGTTCTGGTTTGGTGCAACACGGAGATGCGACAAAGAGCTGAAACATTCGTGGTGTGGGGTGTGGTGCTTGGAGGTAGAAGCCAACACTAACCCGGAGCTCAAATCGGTTGTTGTGGGGTTGAAGTTCAACGGCTTGAGTCTCGTCGTCGTCAGCTGATCCGGTCCAGCTGGTCCGGGGGGACGCAGCGAGCGTTTTTAAAAGTAAATCTTCCTTCGTTCTGTTTCAAAATGTGGAAGATTCCCGACGCATACCGTGAGTAAAAAGCTGCGGGCGTGTTCAACAAAATTACATCGTTTTAATGGAACAATGGACTCCGGATTGTTGTTCTAAATCTGCCGTTTTTGTGCTTCGTGTTGTTGGACTGCGTTTGCAAAGGGACGTGTTTGCACAGCGACGCACACCGCTCGAGTAGATGGTTCGGTCCTGCAAACGACCGGTTATACAGAATTTCAGGGAAACTTAAGTCACCACCGATATTTTCCTGTAAATTTTGTATGAGTTTGTTGCGCTCATCTTGCGGTGTGAATAAATTAGGGCAAGATTTCCTACCTGCCCACAGATGCATGAATTGATACCATTTTTTACCTAGGGAACATAGTGCTTTTTTCTTTATTTTGGGAGGAGGCGTTGGTGCATTTATTATGGTACAATCACTTGAGAGTTGAGAAATTGAAGAGCGAGCAAGCTTTCCCAACTTTGTCTCTTTTTCTCTCGTACTGCCCTGTTTCAGTTTCAGTAGGCTTATCTATTAGCAGGTACAAACTGCTCTAAAGCAGGTAAAAAACAGGAAGATTAGGACGGTGCGGACTTCGTGTTTCGCGCTTTTTGTAAGGTGACGGGGTAAATGCTTTTGTGAGGTATGCGGAATATGCACGCGATTTTGTTATGCCCGTCGTTTGTGTCTCTCCAGCAAAACGAATAAGATGATCTACAAAGGCGCAATCACAAGCCAAGATTTACGATAGCAGTGCGTTTGTTTCGGTGATCCGTGTAGCTGTATTTTACCCTGCTCTCTGTAACACCGTGTCATGACGAAGAGCTGGAACGGTCATGGTTTCTGCTGGCCTCCCGGTTGACAGAAACCCGCGTCGCCCGCATCGGCACCGAGTTCGCTTGGGTTGTTGATGCTCGAGCCTTTCATTCGCAGCTTGTAGCCATTGAGCAGCTGATCCTGCTGCTCAATGGTGAGGAAGCGGCGAGAGTAACCTCGGAAGTGAATATAAATCCTCGTTCATTCAGTTATCCGGTGTCAAAGTGTGGACGATATCCAACGTGTACTGAGGGCGGGAACTACGAGCATCTTGCCTTGCTTTTATAACCGAAACCAGACCAACGAGATAACTGCCTTGCGTACTCCAAAATGACGGAAGCAATAAGTTTCAACAGATCGAGTACGTCACCGGGGATGTAGGCGAGACGGTGCACACTGTTTAAACGCTTGCAGTATCCACGAGCGGTACCAGGAAAACGATGTCAACAAAGGAGCTCGGGATTCAGCATAATGCAGTGCGACGGGCCCGTGAATCTTCGAAGTTCGGGGTGGTGGCGGTATAAAAAAAAAAAACTCATCAGCGCCACACCAGCGATCACGAATAACACCGGTCACAAACTCCCAAGCCCCACCGCTCCACTTGGCACCGATGCGACATACG